CCTGCAACGGCATCAGTACTAACAGCATTTACAAAAATTGAAATAATCAGAAACAGTTGTGTTTCATTTTCTGTGCATTTGAATTCCCTTCCTTCGAAAGATTTTATTTCCTTTTTGATTTCGCGATTTGACAGCACGACGACAGCTGCAGATCGGCAAGAAGACGATGAAACTACCAGTCTACAACGAACCGCTACACATTGTGAACGGAAGGGGCAGGCAGTGCAATGCCGCTATAATACCAACATCGGGAACTCACAGTCGAAATTTGCAGCATTATTTCTTTCACGCAAAACAAGCACGAAACGACGGGACAAAAGTGGATATCCCATAAAGAAGAGTTACGTTTTTCTCATTTTGACCTCGCCCAGCTTATGTTTCTAATGGTTAATATAGTCAGGCAAAGCCAAATTGACGAGTGAATCAGCGTAGATATGAAAAACAATTTTTATAAAGTCATTACCTTATTTGGTTTTGCACCATTCGAAAGTTATCTGCATTGTTCCCTTAGAGGATTCGAAGCCGAAAGCGACGTGGCCGGAATGAATGTGAAGGTATGTAAAACGAAAAGCAGAGCGCATTTTCGCTCTACTGGCCGTTTTGCTCTACAGCTAAGCACAGAATCAGTATTGCAAATGGAGGAATTGATGTTCACGTCGTGTTCATATAATAGAAATGGGAAGAAAGATCGACCGGCCAACATAAATGTCCTGCCACGTGCTGTATTCAGTTCTGTCGTGGTTAAGGCATAGCTGACACTCAAGAGCATCGTGCACTGTTTGAAATTGGTCATCTTCGCTGTAATCACCCATGATCAAGAATTGTGGATCATGACTGCGACATTTCGATCTTTAGTATAAGCGGCTGAAAGAAAGCAATCGCAGGTCTCATGCATGTCGGTATCTTGGAGTTCATGTATCCGAGAGAACCATAGTGTGTTGCCGTCGCTTCTATGAATGATTAAGTTGAGCGGCGATTGTTTTGGCACGTCTTCGAATTGTTTTAAAAAGTATTTGAAACCATTGCCACTTGCCAGACAGACCGGCTGCGAACCCAGGGAACGGCCAAAAATAGCGTAATTTGAGTGTATCGAAATACTTCAGTAGATTTGAGTCTTCTTCTCTCGCAGCTGCAACGTTATCAAGGAATCAGCAACGTTATAGGCAGTAGCTGACCGACGTGTTCCCGCGACTCGATTGGATATGCAATCACTGAAACCGTTGGAGTGACTGAAATTTTTTAATTACAGAGGAATTTAATTTTTCTGTATTTTGACGCCATGCTCTACCAAGATTAGTTTCCACAAAGTACTGCAGCAGTCCGCTTACTTGTAGTTATCAATGGGGGAGCCATTTTAGTTGGTCATGACTCGCTTGATTGGATAAATGCAATGACAGATTCACCTTGTATCATGTGATTTGACGGAAAAATTGCATGTGCAACACGAATAATGTTTCATGAGAGCTATTTCTGATCAGCGCTGACATAAGCATTTCATTACCATTTGAATACTAATCATCGGAGACGCATAAACATATGTGTTATAAAGTATTTTTTTAACTTCGATTCATTTAAG